GGCTATAATTGCATTGATCAAAACACCTATTTAAATTGCGTACAAATATTGCACAAATAACAATGAAAATTAGAATAATATGCAAATAAGGCTGGTACTGTTCAGTAAAGGAATGCCACAACACATTCTCTCATGCGTGTAAAAAATTGTTCATGCACATTTCACTAAAAGCGTTAAAAATTCCTTCATATTTCCTAGCTAGTAATACTCTTAATCTTTTATTAACTATTAACACAAATATTAGCTGTGAGAGTATACTTAATTCACGCAAAACGTATACCACGCAAACTTCATTCCACAGAGTGGCGGCGCCAGAAATTTGCCAACAAGGGGTCCGACATGTCCGACGGAGTGGTCCGAGCCAAGGGTCTCGACGAATCCTCGGTCGACGGCCCAGAATAAAAATTCCCTTTTAGGGTTCACTGGGAGAGTTTTTATGGCTTAGTATAGTCCAAAATGTGTTTTAGACCACAATATTATGGATTGGCAGTGAAAATAACGTTATTTGGATAGGCAAATTATTATTTTACAAATTTTTTTATCCGACGACATAATCGTGTTTCGGACGGCAGGGATGCAGGCCTGTCCGACGAGGGAGGGGGAAAATTCCCCTCCTTTGCTTGCGCCACCACTGCTCCCACACACTATTCGCGCTATAACCTCTGTCACCTGTTGCTCCAACCCAGCACATCGCACCACCGATACGATCGATAATATGTAGGCCTAGGCGTTACTGGGCTAAAACAACGGGTAACAGTAAATACCTAGCTAATCCTCTATATAGAAAACTATTTGTGAGCTACTCGACAGTGGCACTGTACATTTCCCGTCAGTGTACATTTTAGCTGTAAAGGTACTCGGAAGTCGACAATAAAATTACCGAATCTGCCCACTTCCCTTCACAAAAGACCTAAATAAACATCAACTGCAAGCGACTCTATTCGCTCGCATCATCAATGCTGTACAAACATCTGTCTCTTATACACATCTAGATGTGTATAAGAGACAGTAATTATACTAATTAGACCCCAGTCTTAATGTCTAAGAGTTCTCTAGAAAAATGTTGAAAACCATGAGAGCTACTCTTAATTTAAAATGCTATTCTGGTGTGTTTAAGCTGCTTTCAAAGGAGTTACATTTTCGTGAATAAAATAATCGATTTGACATGCGCAAATTGTGAAAAATCGGCAGTAGGCTATACGATGCAATATGTTAGCAGGCCTATATCAAATGTATAACTATATATGGCAGTTTTCCATCTTCAACGACAAAGTAGGCCTACGACAAATCTCAGAAGTTTTAAGTTAAAACTTACACGACTGAAAACATATATCTCCCGGCGCAGATAATAATAATGTTACATTTATATGCACATTATGCCGGAGCTTTTATGCGCTTTAACATAAACAGAAAATAGTGGGGAAAAAAAGAGCGAAAACAAGAAATAACCTAAAACTAACTAAGACCGCCATGAACAGTGAAAAGTGCTTACTGGAGTCAAAAACTGTACTCATTGTGGATATCGTTTCTCTTCATGCTTAATCTATTATGTATCATTTACTGTTAATACTAAATAAGCATGATACAATTTGAGTTTAAAGTCCATTTCATGATGCCGTGGCAGGTTTGAGGCTAATATGCACATTGTTTTACAGTACTGTATTATTTTATAATAGGCCTATGCATTTCAGGGGATTTGTTATTTAAATATAAAATTATAAACACGTAGAAATATCATTAATTACATAGGCCTAGATGTTTTAAGTTATATTAAAATCTAGGGCTGGGGCAGAAACATTAAACGGTTCGAATATTGTAGAAAAGAACTTAAAACAAAAACATTTTTGCATGAAAGCTTTTGAAATTAACTCCAATATTTCAAATCACCTCATCCTAAGTCACACCTAACAATCCCTGTATCTTTCATTTAAGATCTGTGCAGCTGTTTTTGAGATATTCTGAACACAAGAAACACGCAAGACGCAAGAAATTTAAATTACCCTCAAGCTTACCCCCGGCTTTGGATCGTCGCCAGCACTTAATAATTTCTCAATTAAACTTTCACAAAAATTTCATTCATATCAGTTGATTAGTTTTTGAAATATCTTGTCTAGAACGTTTGCTCTTAAATCCCTTTAAATGGTCCTCACATCCACATCCTACTCCCGACCGTCATCAAAATTTAATCATTTCTTCATTGGGTTATACATAACACTCCCTGTTATTTTGAATTATGTCACGTCTGTGCAGCCGTTATTTAAATATGTTGGACACAAAAAACAAACACACAAAAACACCAAAACATAACACACACACACCCATACATAAACTTACACGACTGAAAACATATATCTCCCGGCGCAGATAATAATAATGTTACATTTATATGCACATAATGCCGGAGCTTATATGCACTTAATAACATATAACATAAACAGAAAAGAGTGAAAAAAAAGAGCGAAAACAAGAAATAACCTAAAACTAACCAAGACCGCTATGAACAGTGAAAACCATTACCATCGGCAAATTAAGGTGCAAGACCCACCAGTACATTAATCCCAGCTGCCTATGACAAAAATCTATAAAACGAAAACAAACACCAAAGAGGTGCGTCTTTAAAGCACACTTGAAGGAAGAAATTGTTACGCATGATTTTATATCGTCAGGTAGTGTGTTCCAAAGCTGAGTCGAAGCAACAGAGAACCTTTTATGACTATAGCAGTTGATGTTTTTGGAGTTTGCAACCTGAGTTGCAATGACGACCGAAGACTACGAACTGGGCGCTGAGGGTTAAACAGCAGTCTGATGTAAGCTAAAAGTTGTTGAATAAAGAGGAAAAGAATCTTAAAGATAAGCCTCTTCTCAATGGGCAGTCAGTGACATTCATTGAGGATTGGGGTTATGTAAGCAAATGGTTTACTGCGCGTTAAGCTCGGTTTCCATATGAATCGCTGTACCCTATAGGCGACAGTCGCCGACAGTTGTCGGGAAGGTTGAACCTGGTTAAACTTTGCCGATTGCGTTGCAGACGATCGGTGTGCCTTCCCGATTGCGTCAGGGCAGCAAGCAATGCACCCTGCAAATCAATCGGCAAATTTGAACCAGATTCAACCTTCCCGACAACTGTCGGCGACTGTTGCCGGCAGGGTGAGGATTCTATTAAAATGAATCCTCACCTCTTTACATGCGAGCTGCTGTGTTCTTCATCCGCTATAGTTTGGCAAGCTCAGACCGGGTCATCATACAATAGGCTGTTACACCAATCCAGGCGTGGGGTAATAAAAGCATGTACCAGTCTGACTGGTGTTCTCCTATCAAGGTACTTCCTCACTGTTCATCGTCTGCACGAACCTATGAGCTTTGATAATATATCTTGTTGAACCTGTCCCTCGCTATGCTCCCTCTCCTCGTCTCCGTCTGCACATAAAATCACTACTTACCGTCCCAAAATTCTGAACGAAGATATATGGCCAACACCCTTTTCCTTCTCTGCCTCTTCCATGTGGAATGAACTCCTTTTCTTTGTTAAATATTCAACTACTTTAGATTCATTTAAAGTTAATTTTAAAACACTTTTATTTAACAAACTCTAAGGATCATTTTTTAAGTTGGTGCATTATAAATGTTTGATTATTATTATTATTATTATTATTATTATTATTATTATTATTATTATTATTATTATTATTATTATTATTATCAAAGCAATCAACGGCGGTCCCAAGACCGAGCCCTGCGGGACGCTACATTCTTGCTTCCTTTCATGAGATGACAGACCCTCAGGGGCGGATCCAAAATTTGTATCAAACGGGGTCGGGGGCACAGGAGTCTCCGAATAGGTGAGTAGTACATAACATTGATTTGCATTGAAAATTTAAAAATTTAGTGGCAAAATTGTGGGGGGGGTGGCACGTTCCCCTACTGGATCCGCCCTTGACCCTAAATAACAACTGAATATTTACGTTCGGTCAGTTATGATTTTAACCAGTTATAGGGGCTTCCACTGACTTCAACTGGAGCTTAAAAAGTCTAAGAAGTTGAAATAATCGATTGTATCGAAGACTGATGAAAAGTCTAGTAAAGCATCCAGAATCAGAATAAAAGATGTAATAGACATAGATACTGGCTATTTCATATCATCATCCGATTTAAAATCCAAGTTGATATTTAAACATAATTGGATGTCGGACTACACACATGTAATGAATGCCATACCATTGAAGTGGAAAAGAATATTGAAAGAAAAAAAACCCATCAACCCTTATGGTAACAATGATTGTAAAGGTAACAAAATATTGGGAATGACAACAAAACAAGTGTATGGAGTATTAAAAGATCCTAAATTTGATCAGAATATAAAAGATGTAATAGACATAGATACTGGCTATTTCATATCATCATCCGATTTAAAATCCAAATTGATATTTAAACATAATTGGATGTCGGACTACACACATGTAATGAATGCCATACCATTGAAGTGGAAAAGAATATTGAAAGAAAAAAAACCCATCAACCCTTATGGTAACAATGATTGTAAAGGTAACAAAATATTGGGAATGACAACAAAACAAGTGTATGGAGTATTAAAAGATCCTAAATTTGTTACACCATTAGCGTAAACAAAGTGGGATGCTACGGTATGTTTGACATTAAATTACATTGGGAAACAGTTTGGAAAAGAAGAATTACCGGATTTAAAAGCAAGAAATTAACTCAATTCCACTTTAAATTACTCCATAGGATAATTCAAACCAACGAAAGATTGTATAAATGGAGATTAAGAGAGTCTATGAATTGTGATAATTGTCAGTTTACTGATACAGAAAAACATATGTTCGTAAGCTGTAAAAATGTGAGAAATCTCTGGAGAGACGTGAGGAACATAACAAATGTCGACACAAACACTGGCTTATATTTTAAAATTTTATTTGGAAAAGACAACATATATAGAAGAAGGTTGATACTCTAAGTGCCTACTGTATTTATAAGGCTAAAATTTTAGACCTGCTACAAACAAAAAATAACACAGTAGATGCATTAACGTTGTTTAAAAATGAAATACACTGAAATGAACTTTAACTCATGCTTCTTATATTACTGTATTGTAAAATAATAATAATAATAATAATAATAATAATAATAATAATAATAATAATTGACTTTCATTGTGTTCTTTTTTGTTAAATAAGATTTAAATAAATTTTTAAAAAAATGAATTGATCACGTCTATAAAATGTCGGAACCTCTTTCATATACGAAAAGAGAAACTTTGTAATATCGTGCTCTGGAAAAACAAATAAATAAAAAAAAGAAGTAAAAAAAAGTGCAACAATGATAGTCACATAATATGTCAATTCATGTTGGTTTAACGTAGGCCTAAATGATGAACGCAAGTCAGCAGGGACATTGTGCAAATATTGTATCCTTGTAAAATGAAAATATGAAAAACAATACGAAATGAATAGGCCTAAAGGTGGTTAACCCACATGAAAGAGAAAAAAAAGAATATAAAAAGTTAATTGGCCAAAGTTCGGTAAAAACCTGGGGAGGCAAGATAGCCACATAGTCTATTAACTAGTGGCTAATAATTAGCCTTCCCCTTAAATAAGCTTAAACTACAGACCAACAACACACACATACACACAAAAGAAAAACATGAATAACACATCAAGATGATTAGTTTTTAAGGTGTTCAATTAAATTTTAAATTGTGGTAGACTGTTCCATAGTAAAATAACGGATGGATAAAATGATGATATGAAAGACAGAGTGCGTCCAAATGGAACAACAAAGGAATGAGTATGATTTAAACGAGTTGATCGCCGTCTGGGATTCAACTAATATACCAGCAGGGATATAATGAATTAACATAACAAAACGAAAAAAAATTTTAAATAGGAACTACGATCTTTTAACGATATAATAATTCATATACGGTAGTTATATACGACAGTAAGAGAACATTTACTGATTGTATTTTAAACCAATTGAAATTGCTGATATATTAATTTTTCATTTTAAAAGTCAACCCAGGTTTTAATATTCGTATCATCAGCAATTCAGCCATTTCCACTGAATATAGTGTCTTAACGTGCATAGTTTGTTCTTACGATCATTTTCCATTATTATATAAACGCATTTCTGATATCAGACGATATGTAACATTTTCATTATCGTTCTAAAAACATTATATTTTTATATATATATATAAAACAACAATAGTTCGCAAGCACAAACCTCTGTGATACACCATATTGGCAAATTTCATCTTACCCATTGTTTTTCCTTTTTTTTTCAACACAACCCATTATGTGAACCATCGATTCGCTAGATAAAATATGTATATTAAAATATTTTCAATCAATCAATCAATGTACTGTAGTAAGCCACTTTTACTTTACTTTACTTTGAGTTTGTATGAGTGGCATTGAAAGACAGGCTTAGGCATATTCACCAAGTTCATCATCATCAATCACTACCACCCCTACCGCGTACGGTTCTATTGTTATTTCCCTTCATCATATTCTTGAGGTGAGGATTCAAATCTGTAATGCTGGAGGTAACACTCTCACATAGGTAAGCTAAATCAAGCAACAAAATGTAACCATTACCAAAATTGCATTCGTCTAATGTGCCAACACGTCTGCAAATTCCGCCATGGCCGGTGACATTACCACGAACCATGTCGAATGCAATCTTTCTCTTACCGAAAGTCTGTACACTTTCATTAGCAACACATGTTTTATATACAAATGACGTCATGTTACGGAAAGCAGATAAGTCGTCTTCAAATCCTGGGCCATAGTCCTTTATATGTTTATGTAAACGCTTGAGAAAGTGAGAGTATAGTTTCGTATCTATCCAATTCCACTTTGATATGTTTTTACGAATGCCCACATTTAACGTAGCGCGCGAACTTCTCACGTTTCGAGGCAAATACAAAATGTCTTTAAATTCCCAACAAAGCTTTTTCTTCAGTAATAACAATGATTCGTCAAAATATTCTGTTATCATTACTAGATCAAGTTCATTATCCAACCGTTTAATCGTATAATCAACAACAAAACTATTAGGACATTTCGCAGGATCAACGCCCAAATCCCAAATCTGATTATTTCGAGAAAGTAAGCGCAGAGATCCTTTCAGTGGAGTCCAATATTTAAGTGGATCTTTAAAGAAAACCTGTAATCTCTGTGTTTTATTTAATGAACTGTCTCTTATAGCGGCTGCCCCAACATTAAAAAAATCAAAAGTAGATTCGAACTGAGAGACCGGGTTTCGTAATAAAGTCACATAAATCGAGCCATTTTCCATAAACGAGTCATAAACCGGCCTATTATATAGAGCATGTAGCGCAAAAACATTGTACTTATAATGTTTATAATCTCCTTGTTTGACGCCCATCGGGGGTACGAAGTTCTTCTTTGAAGTAAAATTAAAATTCACATTTGCAAAGTGAAAATTTGTGTATTTTCCTTTTTTAATAACCACATTTAGTTTGTTGTCGAAAGCATATTGTTCAAGTATTCGTGCTAGCGTTGTTCCGCCTGTTTTGTGAGTTTCAAAAACACGATGTTTTTCCTCGGCGTGCAACTTTGTAGGCCTACGGTCTGTGTTTCCTTATTCCTAATACTGTTAATGTAAAAGCAATTTGTGTTAATGAATAAACAATAGTAAAAGTAGCACCTTAAAAAACACAAGCTTTCAGAGGCATTCAACCTTCCAATAATAAGGAAAAATAAACAGTTCAATATAAAAATTTAAAACAAAGTATCAATTTGTTTGAATTTAAGAAACGGTAAGTAAATATGCAAGAGTCTAATAAACAAAAACTCAGCTTAGGACTATCTGACCATACGCTTATTCGGACATTATTTTATCAGTAAAAGCCTAACTGGAAACATCGTAAATATGATTAACCCCGTTCGGCTATGAAACATGAAGCCTTGTAATAAAAATATATAAAATAAAAAGTTCTGTGGAAAAGTGCAGTAACTTATTCACATCTGGCTAAAAATATGTAGGCCCCGTGGCTATTTATTTTAGATATTAAAAGCTTTAAGTATCTAAGCGGAATAGAAATAATATGTTGGCGGTACTTAGTGAACAATTGGATGCAACACATGACTAAGATCTAAACATAAAAATGTAAGTTCTAGAGTTAAATAGATATCAGAAAAGTCAACGTAGGCATATTTACCTTTGCAATACTGTATGTTGAGTATTGCTGCCTTTTATTCTTTTATGAATTAGGCCTACATTGCAATTTGGAATCAGTGTTATTATATAAAACAATACAACAGTTATACAAGCCAGAAAAAATATCTGAAAAAAAATAATTAATAACATCATATGAACAATTTTAAATATAGGCCTAACAAATAAACACTCGATCTGGGTAAATCATTATAGTTTATACATAGCAGAAACAACAAGCTTGAAAATTCATGAATAAACAACATCACAGGCAGAGTAATCTGAACAAGAATTAAAAAGAAAACACAATTAATCTCAGCGGGACCGGAGGATGTCCGGGTGGGTTTTAAATATAAACTAAATTTAAAAACTTGGGCCTACTTCTATACTATCGTTTTCTTCTAACGTACCTTAAAAAATCGATCCATTGATATCGATTTATCCAGTAACTTAGGCCTATCTGGTTGATATGCACATTCTGAACAACTGTTAGAATACTTACACTTCAGGTAAAGGTCAAAAAATCGTGCACTTATGTGTTAAAAGCATGAAACATGGCACATTTGTACTACTTGTACTATGAACCATATAGCGAATATTTTCAGGTAGGAACATCGTCTACAGCGCCCTCTATAGACCAGAAATGGAAATTTCTATTTTTAGTCATTATTCTATATAAAGATGCATTTTAAGTCAACCTCAGTTTTTCGGTCTTCGTTTTATAGACACCCTATATGGGTGTCTACAAAACGAATGTTTTTTTAAATCACTTCATGCTAGGTCTATAGGCCCTATATATAGTATTCGTCTTTTTAGCACATTATTGCCTGAATCTGAGTCAATTAATTTAGAGATTTACTCTTTATTCCAGTTCCAAAGCGGCAGCAATTTTGTACGTCCACGGATGGCGGCAGAGCGAGTCGGCGCTGCTACTCTCTAAACGGAAACTTCGTAAGGCTTGGCCTACCGGTACCCGTATTTTTGGGGCCCTAGGAAAACCTTTAATATTTCATTCATAAACTTGTTTCATGTTAAAATAAACAGTATAATAGGAATGTTGTATAGTGACGCATATGTGCAGCATCAGTCATTTGGTAGTGACACCAACATGGCAGATAAAGAGTCTTCGTTTTATAGACACCCTATATGGGTGTGTCTACAAAACGAATACCTAAAGTATTTCTTGATAGGCCTCCTCATTTTATTCCGATGAAATAATGAAATAGGTACTTGGCAACTGTTTTATAATGATTCTAAAATACTTTCAATAAGATAGGCCTAATTGAGAAATAATTGGAAGGTCTAAGTTTTTCGGGTCTTCGGTCTTCGTTTTGTAGACACCCATATAGAGTGTCTATACAACGAAGACCCTTGAAAATTCGTAAAAAAAAATCGTAATTTGGATTTTGTGACAGCCTGGTGTATTATCATCAAAATAAAAGAGAAAAAATAGGGGTCTTCGTTTTTGGGTCTTCGGACTTCGTTTTATAGACACCCGCCGATAGGGTGAGGAAAACCGAGTACATGCGAGCTGGTGTGTTCTGTATCCGACATAGTTTGGCAAGTTCAGACCGGGTGATCCATACAAGAGGCTGTTACACCAATCCAGGCGTGGGGTAATAAAAGCAGGTACAGTACCAGTCTGACTGGTGTTCTTCTATCAAGGTACTTCCTCACTGTACATCGTCTGCATTAAGCATAACCCTGAATCTATCATGAGTTTTGATAATATACATCGCTATGCTCCATCTCGTCGTCTCCGCTCTGCACATAAAATCACTGCTTTACTGTCCAAAAATTCCGAACGAAGACATGACCAACGCACTATTTCCTTCTCTGCCTCTTCCCTGTGGAATGAACTCCCTTCCTTTGTTAAAGATTCAACTATTTTAGATTCATTTAAAGTTAATTTAAAAACATTTTTATTTAACAAACTCTAAGGGTAAACTGCGCCTTTGATCATTTTGAATTGGCGCATTATATATGTTTGATTATTATTATTAATATTATTATTATTATTATTATTATTATTATTATTATTATTATTATTATTATTATTATTATTATTATTATTTTCCAGAGGAGTGGTGAATATGACACACAACAGCGGTTCTAAACCCAAGCTTCCTTTGATGAGATGACACACCCTAAATGACAACTGAATATTTACGTTGGGTCAGGTAAAATTTGAACAGGTTATAGGCGCTTCCACTGACCCCCAATTGAAGCTTAAGAAGCCTAAGAAGTTTAAAATGATCGATTGTATCGAATGCTGATGAAAAATCTAGTAAAGCAACGAATCAGAATATAAGATGGTGACCAAAATTGTACCCCCAGAAAGTGAATTTTCCAAGATGACTGTCAAAGTGGCGCCGAAACCTGAAAAATAGCAATAAATTATGTATATTTTGTCTCGAAAGATGCCGTTTTTTCTTCAATCCAATGTTTTATGGCTCAGTGTACCAACTGAGACCAACTTAGTCCTAAATCTAATCAAATAGGCCTAATGATAAATTTCGAAAACTGAATACAGGTCTCCCTCAAATTAAAGAACCCTCCAATTAAAGACCACCTGCAATTAAAGACCATTTTCTGTGGTCCCTTAATGCCTTATTCTTATTATTCTACTAAGAGACCAAAGCTACCAAAGACTATGCAAATCCCGGTCCCAAAAGTGGTCTTTAATTGAAGGAAGGTAGACCAAAATGGCATCCTATGGCCACCGTTAACATTTTGTGTAGGCGTATAAACATAATTAATTAATTATTAGCCCTTGTGGCGATTGCAGTGGCATGTTGTCCATAGCTTTTGACTGTGCGTTCATTAAAAATATGTTTAAACATCATTATTTTCGTATTTATTCATTTATATAATCATTCCTTAGTCGGAATAAAAAGTATTGTGTAATACCTTCCTCATTACCGTGGTATAGAGGACAACACTAAGGCCTATCTCAGACGAACTACTGCACTCCTATAAAAATAATTTTTCAAGTAATCTTCCATCCTTAGAAGTTGTTATACTCTGATGTCATTATTATATACGGTAGTAAGAGATACTGATTGTATTTTAAACCAATTTCATTTTAAATGTCAACCCACATTTTAATATTTGTATCATCAGCAATTCAGTCATTTCCACTGAATATTGTGTCTTAATGTGAATAGGTAGTTCTTACGTTCATTTTCCATTATTATATAAACACATTTCTGATATCAGACGATATATAACATTTTATTATCGTTCTAAAAACATTATAATTAAAAAACAAAAACAAAAACAAAACAAAAAAAAGCAGTAGTTCGCAGGAACACACACCATGTTTCATATTGGTAAATTTCATCTTGCGCATTGCTTTTCTTTTTTTTTTCTCAACACTACCCGGCATGTTATGTGAACCACCGATTTGCTACATAAGATATGTACATTATTATTATTATTATTATTATTATTATTATTATTATTATTATTATTATTTTCCAGAGGAGTGGTGAATATGACACACAACAGCGGTTCTAAACCCAAGCTTCCTTTGATGAGATGACACACCCAAATGACAACTGAATATTTACGTTGGGTCAGGTAAAATTTGAACAGGTTATAGGCGCTTCCACTGACCCCCAATTGAAGCTTAAGAAGCCTAAGAAGTTTAAAATGATCGATTGTATCGAATGCTGATGAAAAATCTAGTAAAAACCCCCAGAAAGTGAATTTTCCAAGATGACTGTCAAAGTGGCGCCGAAACCTGAAAAATAGCAATAAATTATGTATTTTTTTTCTCGAAAGATGCCGTTTTTTCTTCAATCCAATGTTTTATGGCTCAGTGTACCAACTGAGACCAACTTAGTCCTAAATCTAATCAAATAGGCCTAATGATAAATTTCGAAAACTGAATACAGGTCTCCCTCAAATTAAAGAACCCTCCAATTAAAGACCACCTGCAATTAAAGACCATTTTCTGTGGTCCCTTATTGCCTTATTCTTATTATTCTACTAAGAGACCAAAGCTACCAAAGACTATGCAAATCCCGGTCACAAAAGTGGTCTTTAATTGAAGGAAGGTAGACCAAAATGGCATCCTATGGCCACCGTTAACATTTTGTGTAGGCGTATAAACATAATTAATTAATTATTAGCCCTTGTGGCGATTGCAGTGGCATGTTGTCCATAGCTTTCTTTATAAGTTTATGTAAACGCCCGAGAGAGTGAGAGTATATTTTCGTGTCTATCCAATTCCACTTTGATATGTTTTTACGAATGTCCACATTTAACGTAGCCCGCGAACTTCTCATGTTTCGAGGCAAATACAAAATGTCTTTAAATTCCCAACAAAGCTTTTTCTTCAGTAATAACAATGATTCGTCAAAATATTCTGTTATCATTACTAGATCAAGTTCATTATCCAATCGTTTAATCGTATAATCAACAACAAAACTATTAGGACATTTCGCAGGATCCACGCCCAAATCCCAAATCTGACTATTACGAGAAATTAAGCGCAGAGATCTTTTCAGTGTAGCCCAATATTTAAGTGGATCTTTAAAGAAAACCTGTAATCTCTGTGTTTTATTTAATGAACTGTCTCTTATAGCGGCTGCCCCAACATTAAAAAAATCAAAAGCAGATTCGAACTGAGAGACAGGGTCTCGTAATAAAGTCACATAAATCGAGTCATTTTCCATAAACGAGTCGTAAACCGGCCTATTATATAGAGCATGTAGCGCAAAAACATTGTACTTATAATTTTTATAATCTCCTTGTTTGACGCCCATCGGGGGTACGAAGTTCTCCTTGGAATTAAAATTAAAATTCACATTTGTAAAGTGAAAATTTTTGTATTCTCCTTTTTTAATAACCACATTTAGTTTGTTGTCGAAAGCATATTGTTCAAGTATTCGTGCTAGCGTTGTTCCGCCTGTTTTGTGAGTTTTCAAAAACACGATGTTTTTCCTCGGCGTGCAACTTCGTTGGCCTACGGGCTGTCTTACCATATTCCCAATACTGTTAATGTGGAAGCAGTTTGTGTTAATGAATAAACAATAAAAAAGTAGCACCTTATAAAAACAAAAGCTTTCAGATGCATTCAACCTTCCAATAATAAAGAAAAATAAACAGTTCAATATAAAAATTTAAAACAAAGTATCAATTTGGTTGAATATAAGAAACGGTACGGTAAGTAAATAAGCAAGGCATCTAATAAACAAAAACTCACCTTAGGCCTATCTGACCATACGCTTATTTGCGGTCCTAAACACCGCCTGAGACAGCCCGACAATGTTTTTCATTGCCCGAGTGTATATATGATTAGTATTTTACAATAAATAACGCCCGAGGATAGATAATGACTTTTTGCTCAAGAATACATACATACATAAGTTAAATATTTAATAAAACATTAATTTAATTTTATAGACTTTCGGGTGTTTCGGTGTGCTGCCAAAAGGCTAACTCGTTAACTAACACTGATGACGCGTTTAACAATAGACCGTTGATAAGATCGTCTTTATCCCATAGACGACAGTAAAAGCCTAACTGGAAACATCGTAAATATGCTAAACCTTGTTCGGCTATGAAACATGAAGCCTTGTAATAAAAATATATAAAAGAAAAAGTTCTGTGGAAAAGTGCAGCAACTTATTCACATCTGGCTAAAAAATATATAGGCCCTTCTTATTTTAGATATTAAAAGCTTTAAGTATCTAAGCGGGATAGAGATAATATGTTGGCGGCACTAGGTGAACAATTGGATGCAAAAAATGACTAAGGCCTAAACATAAAAATGTAAGTTCTATATTTAAATAGATATCAGAAAAGTCAACGTATGCATATTTACCTTTGCAATACTGTATGTTGAGTATTGCTGCCTTTATGAATTAGGCCTACATTGCAATTTGGAATAAATATTATTACTTGGAACAATACAACAGTTATACAAGCCAGAAAAAATATCTGAAAAAGAAATAACATCATATGAACAATTTTATATATAGGCCTAACAAATAAACACTCGATCTGGGTAAATGAACATTTTGTTTATGTTTGTCGAAACGGTATTTTTCGTAGAATTACATCGCTTTATAATAATTGTATTTTTGTGAAAATTAAATTAATTATAATATTTTCCATTGAACTTTTTTTTTATTACATATGAATTAGTTCAATAATTTATTATGTAGGTCCTATTTATAATGTTATGTTTTTAATTCATTACAATTAAGATTTTATATTTTATATTTTCATCCTGTAATTTATGTGTCTACACTGTTGACTGTAAAACAAATAAATTATACGGTAGTTTATACATAGCAGAAACAACAAGCTTGAAAATTCATGAACAAAAAACATCACAAGAAGAGTAATCTGAACAAGAATTAAAAAGAAAACACAATTAATCCCACCGGGACCGGAGGATGTCCGGGTGGGTTTTAAATATAAACTAAATTTAAAAACCTAGGCCTACTTCTATACTATCGTTTTCTTCTAACGTACCTTAAAAAATTGATCCATTGATATCGATTTATCCTGTAACTTAGGCTTATCTGGTTGATATGCACATTCTGAACAACTGTTAGAATACTTACACTTCAGGTAAAGGTCAAAAAATCGTGCACTTTGTGATAAAAACATGAAACTTGGCACATTTGTACTACTTGTACTATGAACCATATATTGAATATTTTCAGGTAGGGACTTACGTTTACAGCGCCCACTATCGACCAGAAAAAATGGTAAATTTCTATTTTTAGTCATATTCAATATAAGATGTACTTTAAATCAACCTCAGTTCTTCGGTCTTCGTTTTATAGACACCCTATATGGGTGTTTACAAAACGAATGTTTTTAAATCACTTCATGCTATGTATATAGGCCCTATATAGTATTCGTCTTTTTAGCACATTATTGCCTGAATCTGAGTCAATTTAATGATTTACTCTTTATTCCAGTTCCAAAGCGGCAGCAATGTTACGGTACGTCCACGGCTGACGGCAGAGCGCCTCGGCGCTGCTATTCTCTAAACGAAAGTAAGGCTTGGAATAGCAGTACGCGTATTTTTGGGGCCCTACAAAAACCTTTAATATTTCATTCATAAACTTGTTTCATGTTGAAATAAACAGTATAGGAATGTTGTAGGAATGTCGTATAGTGACGCATATGTGCAGCATCGGTTATTTGGTAGTGACACCAACATGGCAGAGATAACTAAGGGTCTTCGTTTTATAGCCACCCTATATGGGTGTCTACAAAACGAATACTTTAAGTATTTCTTGATAGGCCTCCTCATTTTATTGCGATGAAATAATTAAATAGGTATTTGGCAACTGTTTTGTGATGATTCTAAAATACTTTCAATAAGATAGGCGTAATTGAGAAATAATTGGAGGGTCTAAGTTTTTCGGGTCTTCGGTCTTCGTTTTGTAGACACCCATATAGAGTGTCTATACAACGAAGACCCTTGAAAATTTCACATACAGACGCCCAAAAAAAATCGAAATTTGGATTTTGTGACAGCCTGGTGTATTATCATCAAAATAAAAGAGAAAAAATAGGGGTCTTCGTTTTTGGGTCCGCTATGCTCCATCTCGTCGTCTCCGCTTTGCACATAAAATCACTGCTTACCGTCCAAAAATTCCGAACGAAGACATGGCCAACGCACTTTTTCCTTCTCTGCCTCTTTCATGTGGAATGAACTCCCTTCCTTTGTTAAAGATTCAAATATTTTAGATTCATTTAAAGTTAATTTAAAAACATTTTTATTTAACAAACTCTAAGGGTAAACTGAGTCTTTGATCATTTTAAATTGGCGCATTATAGATGTTTGATTATTAATATTAATAATAATAATAATATTATTATTATTATTATTATTATTATTATTATTATTATTATTATTTTCCAGAGGAGTGGTGAATATGACATACAACAGCGGTTCTAAACCCAAGCTTCCTTTGATGAGACGACAGTACACCCTAAATAACAACTGAATATTTTTTACGTTGGGTCAGGTAAAATTTGAACCAGTTATAGGCGCTTCCAGTGACCCCAACTGGAGCTTAAGAAGCCTAAGAAGTTTAAAATGATCGATTGTATTGAATGCTGATGAAAAATCTAGTAAAGCAACGAATCAGAATATAAGAAGTTTACCAAAATTGTACCCTCAGAAAGTGAATTTTCCAAGATGGCTATCAAAGTGCCGCCGAAACCTGAAAATTAGCAATAAATTATGTACTTTTGTCTCGAAGATGCCGTTTTTTTCCCTCCAATCCAATGTATTATCAGTGTACCAAATGAGACCAACTTAGTCCTAAATCTAACAGGCCTGTAGGCAGGGGGGTGCGGAGGACGCACCCTCACCCCCACCCAATTCCAAAAGGTCCACTTTTTAAAACCTATTATTTCCTAATTATACCAAAATGCTAGGCCTATAGCATGCATTGCATCATATTATTTGTTAGCTTATCTAACCGTTGATTTTTAATAATGTGGTATGTAATTTGTTAGAAATTGATCGTCTCCGGTGATTGCAGATTGATGTATATAATATGAAGAATGTTATCTATAGGCCTGCAGATTCAGGACATAATAACGTTACGCCTGTAGGCAGGGGGGTGCAGAGGACGCACCCCCACCCCCCACCCAATTCCAAAAGGTCCACTTTTTAAAACCTATTATTTCCTAATTATACCAAAATGATAGGCCTATAGCATGCATTGCATTATATTATTTGTTAGCTTATCTAACCGTTGATTTTTAATAATGTGGTATGTAATTTGTTAGAAATTGATCGTCTCCGGTGGCAGATTGATCTATATAATATGAAGAATGTTATCTATAGGCCTGCAGATTCAGGACATAATAACGTTACTTTTTCAGGTCCCAAAAACACCCAAATTAATGAAAATTTAAATGAAATATTCATGAATTGTGTGTTTGAGAAATCTATTATGTAAGACCCTCAAAATGCTACTTTATTGCTTTTCTCACAAACCCCTTCCAGGCCTCTGCCCCTGGACCACCAAATTTCAAAAAGTCCACTTTTTAAAACCTATTATTTTACTTAAATCGTTCCTAATTATCGCGAAATGCTATAGTATGCATTACATTTTTTGCCCGCTCTTCTATACCCATTGATTTTTAATACAGTAATGTACTACGAAATCTGTTGTAAATTATCAGCTCCGTGATTGTAGGCCTACAGATGTAAAGGACATGAAAAATTATAATTTCACAGTGGTGGATTCAAGGGGGGAGAGCACCCTAAATTTATAAAAGAAATGGAGAAAAATAAAAATCATAATTAAAGTTTGTCTGAGAGTGCAATTTCCAGCCACTTTGAGGTGCCATAATCAAAAGTTTTCTTACCTCAGCCCCGACCATGGTGGGGCTGAGGTGATATTGACCATCTGTCTGTGCAAGTTTCTCCCTTCACCCCACCTTCTATTTCTCCTGCTTTACTGTAGGTCCCTAGACAATACTCAAATGAATGAAAATTTAAATAGGATATTACAAATTATAGATTTTAGAAATCCATTAAAATATGACCTCAAAATGCTAATTTGTCAGAGCTTTCAGAAGATTCGCCTCAGTCTCGCGGGGATCCCTAGGCAGTCGCCTATTGTAAGGTCCACTTCGGTTGCAAAACGCACCTCCCCATCGAAAATCCAGCCTACGGGCCTGCATAATCTAATCAAATAATGATAAATTTCGAAAACTGAATACAGGTCTCCCTCAAATTAAAGAACCCTCCAATTAAGGACCAGCTGCAATTAAATACCATTTTCTGTGGCCCCTTATTAACAAATGCCTTGTTCTTATTATTCTACTAAGAGACCAAAGCTAAAAAAGACCATGCAAATCCCGCTCCCAAAAGTGGTCTTTAATTGAAGGAAGGTAGACCAAAATGGCATCTTATGGCCACCGTATACATTTTGTGTAGGCCTATAAACATAACTCATTAATTATTAGCCTTAGTGGCGATTGTAATGGCATGTTGTCCGTAGCTTTTGACTGCGTTCATTAAAATTATTTTTAAAAATCATTGTTTTCGTATTTATTCATTTATACAATCATTCCTTAGTCGACATAAAATGTATAGTTTAATACCTTCCTCATTTCCGTGGTATAGAGGACAACACTAAGGCCTATCTACAGACGAACTACTGCACTCCTATAAAAATAATTTTTCAAGTAGTTTTCCATCCTTAGAAGTTGTTATACTCTGATGTCATTATTATGTATGGTAGTAAGAGATATACTGATTGTATTTTAAACCAATTTCATTTTAAATGTCAACCCACATTTTAATATGTATCATCAGCAATTCAGCCATTTCCACTGAATATTGTGTCTTAATGTGAATAGATAGTTCTTACGTTCATTTTCCATTATTATATAAACGCATCTCTGATATCAAACGATATATAACATTTTTATTATCGTTCTAAAAACATTATAATTAAAAAAAAAAAAAACAGTAGTTCGCAAGAACACACACCATGTTTCATATTGGTAAATTTCATCTTGCGCATTGCTTTTTTTTTTCTCTCTCAACACTACCCGGCATGTTATGTGAACCACCGATTTGCTACATAAGATATGTACTGTAGTACCACTGAGTTACTTTACATTAAGTGAGCTTGTATATTAGTGGCATTGAAAGACAGGCATCTTAGGCTTATTCACCAAGTTCCTCAGCATCACCACCACCACTACCTCCACCGCGTACAGTTCTATTTGTATTTCCCTTCATCATATTCTTGAGG